TACCACTGAAAAAATTCGGTAACCGCTTACTATTAGCAAGAATTCAGTTTACAGTGTTCTTCAGGAGTGTGATTAAAAAACTGCTATAAAGCCTGATCAGTAAACTGTTATAAATGTAAATGCATTTTAATAAATTTAAAGTTACAAGAGGAAATAACACAGATTTTTTTGAACTACTAATGCAAACAAGTGGTATTATAATACTCAAGAATAAGGCTTTTATACACTGTTTTAAACCAGCAGCAATCAAAAGCATGCCTTGCGTGAAAAAATACTATTTTACGACTCCATCTTATGCATCAAGTTTTTGTCAAAGCATGTTTCGCATATCCCTCACACGTACGACATGTGTATGTATTACAGTTATTTTTAGTTTACATATGTCTAATTATTACAAATAATTATGACTCATTATTAAAAATAATTACAAAGATTTATAAGGAAATGACGTTTTAGGTTTTAAACTAATGAAAACTTAGTCTATGGATATTCGTTTTGTTTAAGCAGTAATTTACATTGTACATTACGTCACTCTAGCTTTATCACCATTAAAACACTCCCGATAAGAATTACTTCCTGAAAAAGCAACAAATTCTAAATATTTTCTGGAGATGATTTAAAAATGAGGAAATTTTACGGTTTTATTGAAAGGTACAAACATGGAGATTTGTACCATGCTGCAAGCCTATGATAACGAAAATTCTAGACTGCAGAAAGTTGAATATTATTTCAAGGCTGCTCTTAAATTCACAGAAAAACAAAATTTATTCATAACAATACATTCATCTCAAAGCTAACCAAAAAAATGCAGATTTATTCAGCTGAACCAAATTCTAAAAGTTTAATTTTCGACTGCTGTTTTCTTTTCTTTGTTTTAATATAGGTTTATTAAGACGAGTAAAAGATATTTTTTTACGCAAGGCATGCTTGTGATTGCTGCTGGTTTAGAACAGTGTATAAATGCTTTAATCTTGAATATTGTGTAATAAGAAAATCTTAGGAAAGATGAAAGTTGAAGCGGTAAAATGGGAAAACTGAACTTGAAACAAGGTACCAAAAGACAGATAAAAACAAAAAATTTTTTTTGTTATTATAATAAACATACGACAAATTCAGTTTTTACACTGTTGTCGGCCAACAAAAATAACCAGATTTATCATAAGAAAGTTTTTAAAATTAGTTGTTATATCAAGAAAGCGATTTTTTGACCTTTACCTTCAAGAAGTTGGATCATTTGTTCACTGAATACAACTCTGTCGTGTTCGGTAAGTGGGAAAGCATTTTTATCTTTTGCGTATTCCACAATGCTGATCTGCTAAAAACTGCACTCTGTACAACGCTTAGACAAAAGCTTTTACTTCGTTGAAACGGTGAAACAAATTATTTGAAACATTACTCTCTCTCAAGCAGGACATCTTAAAAATTTGATATTTCTAGATTCTTTTTCTCTTCTTTTGTGCAATTTTATAGCCGTACGAATAAATTCTCTTGGAAATAGGTTATATAGATTGATATATTTTGCTGCTGCATTTTTCTACCGTATTTAAAACCTAGCTATCATTGCTCAATTTCACCAAACAGAAAATTATAGCTTTAATAGCCATATTCTCAATAACTTCCGATTTCAAAAAAAAAAACTTATACTTTCAAAGTTACCAGCAAATAACAGTTTTAAAAGATAGTATTTTGAAAAAAATTTTTTTATTTAACACGTTTTTTTTTTTTGAAATTTCTTTCAAAACTTTTCATTAAGAATCTCTTTAATAATTTGTTTTTCAGGAGCAATGTTCTTCTTTGTAAGTTTAAAATCCATTTCACTTAAGTTGAATTTCTGTGCGCAACAAATTCTTCCAAAAAACACTTGGTCATCAAATTAGACCTCTGAACAAAATTATTTTATTTATTAGAACGTTATCACTAAAACAGTGAAATTATATTATAAGCACCAATTAGGAAAAGTTGAAAAAGAAGAAAAAAACTCGGAAAATAAAAGACTCCATTTACTAATTCAAAACCTTTCTGACAAACCTCACCTGATTTTTAACCTCCGCATTCACATTAGCACCGTTTTCAATTAGACATCTTACGACCTCGAAGAACCTCTCTCCTTTGAATCCCCAAAGATATTCGACCTGAAAAATACACCTGTTGTCATTACAAAAATTCGTGATTCATCTGAAAATTATTTTTTATATTGTAAGCTATAAAGTAATTACTCTAGCTGTTAAAAGACAATACATATTTCAACGGTTCTTGCTGTATAATTAACGCGTTGAAAAATGATGCATAAAAAAGTCACAAAAAAAGCATTTATCAATTCTATAGACTAAAGATTCATCGAACAAATCTTAAAAAAATCAGAAAACCGAACGGTTTTTACCATTTTCGTACAGATAACTGCAAATGTGAAAACAAGAAAAAAATCGCCGGCATTATTGCTCAGTGCAATAATTCCTGCCATGAGAACAGGCGTAGAAAACTGTATTTGTCAGTCAGATTTAGCTCGAAACAGACGGATCTGACTACGTAAATTGAGACGCCGACCATCAGGCTTCTGTACTAAAGACGCGCAGATGCGATAGGTCTAAAAAATGCATAATTTGACGGAAATGTATGTTCAAACGGGCACCACACAGAATGCAAAGCATGCTCCGACATGCTCCGAGAAATTGTAATTGAACAAGTAGAAGTCTGTTACTCTTTGAGCCATAATTCTCATAAATTTCGTATTGGCGAGTTTGTACTCGTGCTACCACTAGGATTTAAGACCCCAGTGCACAGATCAATATTTTTTCTGTATTGTCTGCATAATTTGTAGTGGCTTTTCCCTTTAATGTCAGTCATCTTGTCTCCTTTGTGCCTCGATTTTCTTTATTCCCACGAGTAAAAAAACAGCAATACAAAATCTAGAAGACTCTAGTACAAGAGTCTAGTGGTTGGCGCCATAATTTCATAATCCGATCCGTCTGTTTTGAGCTAAATTTGACTGACACATGCAGCTTTTTACTCCAGTTCTCGAGAGAGGAATTGTTGCATTGGTCCTATATGTAGAGAGCATATAAAACAAGTAAGGATTCATTTTTTTTT